TTAGGAGAGATGAGGTAGGGGAAATAATAAAAGTGGTGCGTGGGATAAATAATAACAGAGTGCAGCGTCACTGAAAAACAAGAATTTTATTACAAAAAGGAATATTTACAAAAGGAAGTTATCAATATCTATATACAAAAGAGGATAACGAAAAACGCCAACCAAGAAGAGGATGGGGATAAACAACCGAGAAAGAGAAGAGCTTTCCTGATAAGCAGGAAAGCTCTGGGGAGATCCTAAATCGCTGTCAAAATACGTTCCAAAGTCTGAAAGGCCAAATAGTCAAATCCTATAAATCCAAAATCCGAAATCCAAGACAGAGTGCAAACCGATGACTAGCGAGCAATAACAAGTTTTTACCAAAGATGCAACCAAGGAGAAGAGAATAGCAGAAACCCCAGAAGAGTTTACACTACCCTGTACCTTCTCACTGAACGGAAGGTGAGGCGAGCCTTTTAACCACGTGATGACTAATATCGAACAGCTGCGACGGGAGCCGGATGAGGAGGGAGCTGTGGGGGCCATCTAGTGGCGAGAGTACGTAACACTTGTGTTGTCCCAGTCCATTACATGGTTTTCTCTTATGCAGTGATCTGTTATGGCTGACTTCTTTATTGTGCTTTCTGCTTCTTCTTTTGCTGCTCTTGTGTGTCTTTGGCTTGTTTCTCTCTCGCACTCCTTTCTATGTTCTATTTTTCGTGTGTTGAGTTGTGGTCCGGTTTCTCCTATGTCTGTTTTATTGCAGTTTGCATGGGATTTCGTAAACGACTCCACAAAGATGTTTAAAGTAAAATACGGACAACAAGGAACAAAGGACTTCCGCCGTTTGGAACGTTTACACCAAAAGCACGCACGTCTTAGGAACCACCTTCTTTCAATTTAAGATGCCGGGACAAAAGCATCACGCCAACAAGCAGAGTTAGATCCATGGTGTTTATAAAAAACACTTATGGAGGGAACAGGAGGAGAAACCACTGAGGAATGAGGATAAACCGACCTTAAAAAACTTGGACGGATGAACCGTGCCGCAACGTGGCTTGGCGAGAATGCGGAAGTGGCGCTCCGGTCGGCAACAAGATGGCGCCTGTGCTTGGCTTAGCCGCAGTAACCGGCCACTTTTTCTAACTTTTCTCCACTAACCTCCTCTTTTCCACCTTGCTCCTGTCTGCGATCCTCTTTATTAACCTGAGCGGCGCACTGGCCCAGAGCCAAACTACAGTACAGACCTGCGCACCTCCAGCTATGTTTGTCCGGTCCCGGGAAAACGTCGGAGGAAAAGAGGTAAACGAGCAGGAATCCAGGTGAGAATAAGACTTCTCTTAAAGCGTGGTTTATCTGGTAAACATCGGCGTGATCTTCTAGCTTCTTGTTCTTTGTTTGGTGACCTGAGCGCCACTTCCGCATTCCCGCCAGGCCACATTGCGGCGCGGTTCATCCGTCCAAGTTTTTTAAGGTCGGTTTATCCTCATTCCTCAGTGGTTTCTTCTCCTGTTCCCTCCATGAGTGGTTTTTATAAACACCGTGGATCTAACCCTGCTAATTTATGTCCACTAACTCCAGCTGTTTCTGTAGTTTCTGATTCCTCCACCTCACTCAGCATGGCTCTATTAAATACCCGCTCTGTTAACAATAAGTCCTTCCTGCTCAATGATCTAATTCTCTCTAAAAACCTGGATTTTCTGTTTCTGACTGAAGTTTGGCAGCAAACATCTGATTATTCTGGTCTGATTGAACTCTGCCCGAGTGGTTATTCTTTTCTTAGCCAGCCCCGGGGTTCTGGTCATGGTGACTTTCTATCCTCCACTGTGAAGCTGTCCAGACTGGTGATTGTTGGTGACTTTAACATCCACGTTGATGATCCCTCCGATCACTTTGCCATGAATTTCTCCAGCCTTATGGACACCTTTGGCTTTACCCAGCATGTTTCTGACCCCACACACACCAGGGGGCACACTCTAGTCTAGACCTTGTTTTTGCCCTGAGTCTAAATGCTGACAGTGTTTGTCCTGAGGATGTTTATATTTCAGATCACCATTGCATTTTCTTTAACTTGTCAGTTTCTGCGTCCCCCCACCTCCTGCTCCAAGAGTATTAATTATACAGTGTTTGTAAAAACACCTCAGACATCACTGACATGTTCTAATATTATCAGATGAAAAACTAAATTGTCTGACGCGCCGTCTCATCTGCTGCTTTTCTAAACTCACAAAAACATGTCTGTAACAAAACCGATTAAAAGCCACTTTTTGTGGATTCTCTGAAAGTTTCCATGGAGTCTGTGACAAACGTTCTTTTTCGTTGATCCCATCGACTAATCTCACAGCTGAAACAAGGCATTCTTAATAATCTGAAGCGTTAACAACGCTGTAGTAAAACACAAGGTATAATCATTTCTTATCAATATAACATTGTTGAAGCACTGGAGCAGCAGAAAATGAGATTTTTGCAATAAATATGCAAAACATTTAATATGAATAGTTTTAGAGCCATTTTGTTAGCAGAATCTTATGTTAATGTTAGCTATAAGCTAGGTGTTCTGACAGAACGCTGGGAAAATGGGTCCCAAAGTGGTTTGCGTGGGGTTGTCATATATGTGTGACAGTGATAATGACAGGCAGGATAAAAATGTTCACCTTTTTCTGTACTTCATTTTGTTGCACTGGAATTTTGTGTTGTGCCATATTTAGGAAGTTTGGACCCCCCCACCCCCACCCCCCGCTTTTCAGTACGCAGCGACAGGGCAGCTGTACAATAACTGCCGGTAAAATTTCCTGGCGGTCCCATGTTTGACTAAGTCAAAACATTAAGCACGAAATGGAGTTATCCTAGTGGCTTCATTCAATAGGAGGAGAAGAAGAAAAGATCTTTTCTATAGCGCCTCTCATGATAAAAATCACGAGGGGCTTCACAAAAACAAAAAAATGTAAAAATATAACAAAGAATTTAGAAAATAATTAAAAATATATTTTAAATGAGCAAAAAATAGACAACTGTGGTTAAAAAATGTTAAGAAAGAGAGAGAGTGAATAGGAAAGAGGGAAATCAGTGGATCTTGAGGAAGGTGGAATAGAAAGAAGCAGCTTGCTTCAAAAAAGATTTTATCTTCACTTCCAAAAGTGATGTCGTTTTTCTATGTAAACATCAAAGGAAGCAGAAAGGAAAGACAATGGAAAATGTTTAAAGGGAGGAAAACATAGACCAAAATGGAAAATTGAAGAAAAAAAAAGAAAGGCTTTTCAGTACGCGGCTCCCACTAGCCGTTAGCTCATCAGTCTAGAACAGGGGTGTCAAACTCATTTTAGCTCAGGGGCCACATTGAGGGAAATCTAGTCCCAAGTGGGCCGGACCGGTAAATTAAAACCAACTTCAGATTGTTTTCTTTGCTTTAATACAATCACTATAAAACAAAGCTGGAACCTGAGGACAGTGTATCCAAAATATTACAAGTACAACACCTGAAGTGTACTTGAAAATTTGAAAAACATTAAAAATCAATAAATGAAAAAAAACATTCCTTAGTGATTCAAAGAGCTTACAGATCACATGGCTAGATCAGTTTCATGCAGCACTTAAAGTATATTTGACTCATTTTACTTTACATCTTTTAGCTTTCACCAGCACATCAATATCAGAAGTCACATCCTGAGTGGCAGTCAACTTCAGGATGTGATTCAAGTTCTTGTGTGAGCCTTGAGCGCAGCTTTGTTTTATTTATACTCATTACAGAGAAAAATTGCTCACAAAGATAAGTTTATTTTCACTCTACATTGTAAAGTATGAAAATAAAGTTTACACAACCATCTCGCGGGCCGGATTTAACCCGCTTGTGGGCCGGATCCGGCCAGCGGGCCGCATATTTGACACCCCTGGTCTAGAAGGACAAAAATCTATTTCTCTAAACAGAGGCTATTCAGAAATCTAATTATTCATTTCACAGAAACATACTTCAGAAGGACAACAACTAAAATGTCTTCAAGAATTAAATCACAGTTACAACTGCAGGTTAAGGCAACGTATCAAGGATGAGGATATTTATTTTAAAATTAAATGAACACAGTTGTCATGGTAACTAAAACCCTAAAAATCCCACAGTTTTACTCTCTGACAGCAAAGAAAGGGAATAAAAAGCGCAACATCTTTTCACTGGAAGTCTTTCACGTCTGCTTTCATTTGCTCCTGTGTTGACACGGCGACAGAGCTTTATCGTTAAAGGGCAGATGTGATGGGCTGAGCAAATCTCTCAATATGTGGTAAAAAAAAAAAAAAAAGCACCAGCCTCCTGTCAGGTCAAACAAGAGCAGATGGGTTAGCAATCCAGTCAGGCCACTCCTGCATTAAGCTCTGCTGACAGCAACCAGTGGCATGGCGCTGTACGGATGAGGCGATGCTGCTTTACTCCATCACTCTTTCTGCTTTTATCAGGCGCAGCACGCGGGGAGGCGCGGCTCAAAGGGAACAGCTGATGTTTCACTAAAAATCAGGAAAATGTAGCAGATAAAAACAGCAGATCTCCCTGAGCGTGGTGGGAGGGGGGTTTATCAGGCCAGAGAAACCCCTCCTGCAGGCGGGGGTCTATTGTCCGCCACCCACAGCTATGCAAAGAAAGCGTGTTGTGCTGCTCTGCAGGGTCGATCCCCACATGTTGCCATTTTGCCTCATGCCTCCCCCCCACCGCTCCTCACCCACAGAGCTTCACACTTTTTCAGTGAAACGTCTTTGCATGTTTTTTAAGCACCAAACTGGCGCCAGGAGCTGTTTGCTCCTCTTTTCTGCACGATTCCAGATGAAGCGAGAACCCTGCTTCTGCTTCCTCTCAAAACGACTTGTCTATTATTAAAAGCTTTTAAACGGAGCAGCGTGTTGGCTGACTACCAAATCCTTTCCCTCGTTGCCAGGGAAACACTGCCGTCTCAGCTCTGCTCACACACACACACACACCCCTCCCTCCCTCCCTTGAGGCTCATATTTCAAACCGTCAGCAGTCCTGCCTGCTCACACTGCTGCCTTTCAACTAAAAGCTTTTTGTGATGCCAGTGGAGCAAAATGGAGGGTGAAAGAGAGCTGATGGGAGTGGTTAGACCAAAGAGGAGGGAGAATAAAGGGCCACGCTCTCACCGTTGCCAGGGCAACTTGATGTCACAGTGACATCACGCGGTATTAAAAGCTTTTAACCGGATTTCTCTCCTGCCTTAGGCCCCATTTTGAGTCCTCTTTCAGCTAGGCTAGGGGGAAGGGCACGGGCAGGACGGTCGTGGCATGTGCTTCCTCGCATGTTTCCCCTCCCTCCCTGCAGACTCAACTGACCTCTACTAACAGTAAAAAGGCTTTTAAATTCAACCTGCAAAGGTCCTCATCTTTGCAAAAAGAGAAAAGGAAAGAGTCAGCACAGCCTAAAAGAGAGGCCTTTAAAAAGGAGAAAAACATGGCGACAGACGACGGTTTCAGCTACCTGATGCCAGGCCACAGTGAGAAACACAGGAGGGCCCCGAACTGGACGGACGGCGAAATGAAAGCCCTCCTGTACGTTTGGGAGGAATTCCACAATGAACTGAAGACCAGCAAGAGGAACGCCAAGGTTTATGAGAAGATCTCCCAGAGGTTCTTCCAGCTGACTGGAGAGCAGCGCTTCAAAGAGGAGATCAAGATGAAAATCACCAACATGTCCTTCCAGTTCAGGCAAGTCTTCCACATCCAAAATCCAGACGTTGCATGACTTTATTTAGATTGTTTTTTTTTAATGACAAATCGTTTCTTTTCGCTGTCGCAGGAGACTGAAAGCCACAGCCGCCGAGTCAGGCGAGGCTCCAGACTGGCCCTACTACAAACCCATCGAGAAGATCCTGGCCAAGCCGCTGGTGAACGGCAGGGTGAACTCCCTGGATTTTCAGTCGTCCTCTGCAGGTCCCTCCACTTCATCCCAGCCCACAGACAACTCTTTGTCCCAGTCAGAGGAGGGCTTGATGGGATTCTTGCCAGAATACACGGGTTCCTCAGATGAGATGGAGATAAAACAAGAGCTGGACTCGTTGAGCTCTGACAGTGATCACACGCTGGGCTCCAGGTAACCGAAACACAATGATTTAATGTTCTATTTGTTCAAAGAAATCTACCAAATTTACACGTATCCTCTGAGTCTGATCTAAAAGGTTCCTCCTCTGTTCCTCATTCAGCTCCCATCCCATCTCAGGCAGGAAGAGACGTTCCAGGAAGTACCTGTCCCTGAAAAGGAAGAAGCTGCAGGTGATGCAGGCTGTGCTGCAGCAGCAGAAGAGGTCGACCCGGGCCATCGAGGAAACGTGCAGAGAGGTCCGTCGGTCCCTGCAGCAGCAGAACCTGCTGCAGGTCCAGTGTCTGCAGCTGCAGGAGAGGATGATGAACCTCCTGGAGAAGATGATCCAGCTTCCAGCCTCTACGTCAGCGGCGTGGGGTCAGAGTGGATCCAAAGATCAAGCAAAACCCTAAAGTTCTCCAGGAGAAACTGTAGAATTTCCCTCTTATAGGAAAATTAGTGTCTTTCTTTTTTAGGATTTCTCTTTAACTGCACTTGGTTTACTTACTGACCAGTAAATCTTACATGAGTGGTGAAGGTTTGCACCAATATATGCTTTAACCAGTTATGAGTCGACCTGAAAGTCATTAACACGTATTAATCTGTGTAAATACAAATGTTAGCAAGAGTTCAGCTAGGTTTTCCATTTTAGACTACTTGTAAAGAAATATTTCTTGATAATTTGCCAAGTACCTCATTAAAATCGTTAAACCAGCTTTGTGAGATCTTGTCGACTGATTCTAAAAAAAGGCTTTTATTTAATCGAATGTTGAAACTATCTTTATTTTAAAAACCGGATTCTTCCCGTTAGAACACGGTTTTGTGTCAACCCCTTTCTCACAAAGGTCAGAAGGAATTGTTGCTAACCTTCATTTTCAAAATTCACTGACTGAGAGGGCTGGATATTTGCCCTGCTGAATGCAGGGGTTGTAGAAGAAAAGTGGTCTCAACCGTTTATGCTCAAGTATTTTATTCTGTTTGGATGTGAAGCACCTTGGGATTTTTATCTGTGAAAGGTGCTATAGGTTACTAACTGAACAGGCATTCAAGGTGAAGCTAGCATAAACAGTTTAAGTCTGGTTTAACACTTCACAATAAGGTTCCCTTCAATAATGTTACTTAGTGCATTATTAAGCATTAATAAACTATTAAACAAAGTATTAAAGGCGCGAATGACTGAAAAACCATTTTTGATGATAATTTCTGACTATAATCGGTCACTGTAAGTTTTTCATGCAGGCTGAGCATGAAAATAGTCTCCTACTCCTATCTCCTGCTGTAGCTTCTGATAGAAAATGGATGGTGAAACTCTAGGATTTGAAAAGCCTGACAGATCTACGTCACGCTGTCACTTAATATTCATGGACTCACCCATATATTGACTCATGATGGTGAAGGCTGTTGTTGTTTTAGCATCCAGGAAACAGCAGACTACATCTAGTTTAAGCTAACTGTTAGCATTAGCAACTTCACCACATGGCAGAACTCCTCCAGACTTGTGTTACTTGTGGAGATAAAACATCCACGTTGTAAGTCAGTGGTAGAGTTGCATGGCTGTTGTACTATCCGTGGTGAGTTGCCCAAATATCAGGAAAATTTACTCCACAACCTGCTGTCTGAAGCTCAGCTATAATGTGGGCAACCGTTATGTCAGAAAAGTGGTGCACCAGTATATTTTTCCCTCCCGAGAATTACTAGAGACCACAAAGAGATTGTTCAACCAGTCACACACACACACACACACACACACACACACACACACACACACACACACACACACACACACACACACACACACACACACACACACACACACACACACCCTTTGTCCTAACCTTAAGGACACTTAATAGTTAACAATAATGACAATGTTAATACATGTCTATTAATGCTTAATAATGCACTAAGTAATGTTAATAGAGGAAACCTTGTAAAGTATACCCTGATTTATTTTTCAACTTTAATCCACAAAACTTTGGAGTAAAACAATGTTTGTGCAAAAGTCTTGCGATGCCCACTGTTAAAACACTGCAACAAAATGCAAACAATAATGTTTTTGCCTCTGTCTGACTTTTAGCTAAACATTTCATCAATCAATCAACAAATTTCAGTAAAAAACTCCAGAGTACCATCACCAGATGTACAACTGCAAGTCTCAGTCCAGTTATGTTGATATTGACTAGCCTAGCACAAAAATTAGCTACAACTCATTCAATTTAACACAGTGGCTGTTCTAGGATTTTTCTGACCATGGGGCTATATGGGTGAAATAATATACCCAAAATACATCAAGGCTCATAAGCGCCACCAGTGTTTGGACTTGGATCTGATCCTCACAAGGACAGATGGGTGACAGGACAGGGGCACTTCATGAGCCAATCAGATTTCAGAAAGGACCAACGCCCCTGTGGCCACGGCCCTAGAACCAGCAGAAGTTTGTCAGATGTTGAGCTAAACATTTTGTCTAACTAGCTGAGAGTCATTCTCGACACATAATGCCTAACATTACTCTAAAGATGTTATCAAAACAATCATAACTCCGTCATTTCTCACCCCTTTAATAAACTCACAAGTGTTCATAGAAATAATGTATCAAACATTCCAAAGATGCTTTAGAGGTTTTCTTTGGTCATTGGCTCTTGTCTTCCAATTTGTGTCATTTTCTGTGAACATTTCTGGTTTGTTCAGCATTGCATAAAATCATCAACATATAAAGAAACTGAACTCAAAGTCACTTTGATGGCTGTGTAAAACCAACAACGTGACTAAGAAGTGATTTAAAATTGAGTTGCATTGCCCTAACAGTAGATTACTTTTAATCATCATTGCTCCCACATGTGTATGGAAGAAAATTACAGTATTTTTGAACTTCAAAGAGATTAGAGGATATTAGCTAGGAATGGATAGATTTCTGTACTGGATTTTTGCTTATTTCACAGACACAGATTTCATGTGCTCTTCAACACTGCTAAGTGCATGACTCTTCTTTCCTTTGTGCAATGCCATCGATTTAATGGGAAAATAAGTAAAATATTCTCTCTTTTTGGCAACACAAAGAAGATTTTAACATTTTAACCAATTAATTTTAAAGTGAGGTTTAGTAATTGTGTAGGTACAAACTTTACCAACTTCACGTGGAACAGCACTTTGCAGCTCTCTGCTGACCAGAAACAGCACTGGGTAGGTGTCCTGGGGGGCGCTCTTTCCCTACTTCAGGGCTGTTAGCTATGTTCTGTGTCTGTAGCTTATATAATGACTAGCAGTCAGCTTTTCCAGTTTGCTGAAAAATAAATAAACTCAAGAAGAAGAAAAAAGAAGCTTGCTTATTAGCATCATGGAAGTATAAGTCAGAGAGTTTGGAGGAACATGAAAGAGCTAAATATGTCACCCCGCAGCAGCCCGTCCACGGCTGCAGATTCCGGATACAAGGGGGAAAACAAGCGACTCATGGTCCAAAGAACAGGCAGGAAAACCACTTAACACTAAAATAGATCATTTATTTGGAGGAGCAAAAACAACGCTAAAAGTTCAAGTCTTTAGAGGCTGAAGGAGTAAAAAAAATACATAAAAGCAGTCTTAAAAACCGTCTAAAACATCCTGTGCATCACCAGGGGCGGGACGGTGTCCAGTACAAGGAGCCACCTCTTGGCTCCAGCGGACAGTGTTGACCCTCGTAGCTGGGACCCAGTCCGCTCCACCTTGTCCTTTGGCTGTCAGGCACAAAGTCAACCTCCTGCAGCAACCTGTCTGTGCTACCGCCATGGCTCCAGCGTTGTCCCTTCGCCCGCTGGCTGCTGCGCACACCGCCAGTCTCTCCGCAGCCCCCTGGCACAGCTCCGCTCCTTGGACACGTGACGCCCTCCTCGGCCCAAGGCCCTAACAAGACGCAGAGGCACCAGCGTCAAAATTGAGCCACTCCCATGGGGGAGGAGAGGGCATCCCACAATCCTCCACACTTGGCCGCTTGTCCACATCCCGGGACGGTGCTCCAGGTGCCGATCTGCATTCAAGGGTGGTCGGGTGTTCGTGTCCTTGCCAGAGACATCACCGTCCAGGGTGCGTCTCTTGCTCTCAGACCTCATGCATGTCTCTGGTGTCTGCTGCTCTCCTTGACTCTTTCCTCAGCTCCTTTTATACCTCATTTTGAGTCCATTGCACCTGTGGGCATTCCACACCTGTTCCCATTTGTTCTAATTAGTGTCTCTGGGAGGTACCGCAAAGGGGAAAACCATTCAAAACACAAAATAAGCATGTCAGCAATAAAACACAAATCATGCAACTTAAACTAAATCCAAAGTTTTTCACGTTGTGACACTAAAACCAGAGTGAACATCAGAATGGCCTTTGAGGAAGCTAAAGGAGGCTATGAATCACAGACTGATGGTGACCTGGCTTTGTTGCTAATGGACTTTATAGTAATAATATTTTTGTCCAAGAGTGTGGATCTTTTTATTTTGTGGCTTATTTAGCATCCGTTGGCTTGTGTTAGTGCTTGTCAGTGGTCTCCTATATAAAAGATTGTCTTCTTCTGCTTAACCTTCTTAACCCTGCTACTGCAGGGTTGTTTATGAAACTAGAAACTCCAAAAGCCTTTCAGATTGCCAGAAGAACATGAACACTTTAAAAGACTTACAGTCCCTTGTGCAGACTGAAATTCAGAATGTGTTTTTTTTAGCTTAATCTATATATAATTTGAATAGGTGCTGTTTAATCCAACAAAATGACAAAGCAGAACAATTTCTGTCCACAATAACACTGTGCTCTAAAAATAGGGTATAATTATGCACAATGCAAAGTGGAACATAGTCAGTGACCCAGTTGTTGGTTCAAATGACCTTGTTTACCCTCTTCTTTTGTTTTAGCAAGTGTTTAATTGCCCTGTGCATGTGTAGGCGTGCAACCGTTACAGCCCTTTGACCAGCTTCTGTTCCCAGAAGCACTAAAAACAGGTAAGACTAATATGTGGTTTTCTTAAATGTACATCTAACAGTGACCACTGTTTTGTCGTAAGGGTTACTGTGCTGACTTGGGACTTTCATTAACTATCACCACTGACATTAATAATGAGGTTCCAGCTGCTTAATTTGTATATTTCGAATTCAATTTTCCTGTAAATTGAAGACTTGGCCTTTAAATGTTGTGGCAGCTGCCACCTGCGTGTCAGCCAATAGCGTCACACGGTTTGTTTGAATATTAAACGTGACAGGCGTTGTGATTGGCCAGTAGAAAAGGTCACGTGCTTCAGAGACGTTATGCTGTCATGGTTACTATGAAAGACGCTTTGTGAGTGAGGTAGTGCCGTCGAGCGTTGCCATATGGACCACCGAATCACGGCAAGGAAATATAAAAAAATTATGTAAAAGAAAAGAAGAAAAGGGTGAAAAGTTCTAAGGAGAATGTAGCGCGAGGAGTTCCCACCACGTGGGGAGCGTTCTAGAAACTTTCCAACCCTCAACAGGTACTTTTTCTTCTCTTTTCGTCAAATTATCCTCGGTTTATAGTTTCACTGTGACTGAAGACGAAAAGAAGCAGCTAAGGTTAACTTTCGTGGTGAGTTGAAGTATTTTAAAACAGCTGCTGACCGAAACTAAAGAGTCTGGTTTTCATTAAAGTTCTGAGTAGGGTGCCAGCTGGCACTTTGTTTTTGTGGGAGCGGGAGGAGGTGGGACGAGTGGGAGTAATATACAAGCTGTGTTACAAAAGCGTCCTCTGTCCGTGTCTCTGACAGAAAATGGCTAAAATAAGATTGATGTCAGTTTAACTCTGATTGCTTTGGGGAGCATGTTAGAGTAAAATAAAGACTTCCGGTGTGTTTTTAAAAATGCCTTTATGTGTTTTAGTAATTTTGAATACCATTTTCATGTACTTTTCTAAATATGTAGTCGTTGTTTTAAACGTTTTTAATTTGAATGATTTTGCGTGTGCTGCATCGATTCTGGTGTTGAGGGCTAATACCGAGTTTTGATTTTTGTGCAACTCTGACCTTCAGATTCCAGCTTATGTCAAGTATCCGTTATTAAAATCTATTTAACATGCAGTTAACTTGAAAATTACAAATGTGGAAGTAAAAATCATCCAAACCTAAGATCGGTTGTATTATCGCTTGGCACAGACGAGATAAGGGACTGGTGTGTGTTCATGGATCAAAAAAACTAAATGAAAAACAAAAATTTTTGATAGGCTAATTCTGATAATCACATGCTAATTTTAACTTATTAAAGATATTAAATAGTGAAGAATATAATTGTATTGACAATCTGCCAAAACTGAGGGATTGCAGTGTCCATTGCCTCGCTGCAAAATTGTGTAAACTGATTAAAATCTTTTCAGAAAAAGATGATTTGGGCTCAAATGCTGTATTTTGTGTCATTTACAAAGAGCCAAAGCTAAAAAATGTAAAGTTAAGGTGAGATTTTATTGTAAAAGAAAACCGATATATTTCTGCCAAATTGCTCACCCCTTTTGATTTCACTCAAGTTTTTTAAAATTTGCATTTAATCATATTTCTAACTCTTTTCTAGTCTTATATAAGTTTTATTTTCTTCTCTTCACTTCAAATGAATAACTGTGTATTCAACAGTTTTTTCCTCTGTTCTCCTCTTCATTCAAATGTAGGATGACAACAACACAGTAGTGTTGGCATTCTTCAAGATTTTCCAATTCCCTCGTGCTGGATCTCACAGCACCCTGCGATTAACATGAGGATACAAGAGCAGCCGGATGGCGCCAGGAGGCGTCTGGATCTAAATGCAGCCAGCGAGCTCAGGGGCGTGGAGATCATTCGTGGTCGGGCCGGCTACGGTTTTACAATCTCGGGGCAGAAACCGTGCCTCTTGAGCGGCATCATGGAGGGGAGTCCTGCCCACTTGGTGGGTCTCAGACAAGGGGACTGCATCATGGCCCTCAATGGAACTGACGTGTCCACTGCTTCACATGAATCCGTGGTGCAGTTGATCGGCAGCTGTACGGGCCCCTTGCGTTTGCTTGTGCTCGCTGAACGTCGAATTATGGGCAATCCCATCCTTAATGATGCAAAATTCGACTTTGCGCAGAAGAGCAGTGCTTTCCAGAAGGCGAGTGTTCTCCGGACTATATCGGATGATTCCAGCAATTCTTCGTTTCACTCTCCTCCGGCGGTCACGGCGAAGCAGAGGCCGGTTTCGGAGCCCGACATGTCTCAGTGGTCACAACAGTGGAGTGTTTTAGCAGGCCATCCAAAGTTGTACGTAGAGACGGTAGCGGACACGGATTCAGTTTTTACGGACACAGAAGAAGTACGTCGACACTGGGCCGTTTTAAATATGACTTTAGTGGTTGGCTACTTGAGCTCCACAGAGCTGATTTTGAATCCTAGAGATTCTGAGGATGCCTGTTTGAAAGCCATTCGGGAGAGAATCCGACAACTGGGCACGGAGCAGAATACCCACACCCTGGTGATGATGAAGATCATGTTTGATTGCATTCAGCTGTGTGATGACGCAGGAGCTGTTTTGGCTGCTTTTCCTGCTGAGAACCTTGTTCTAGGAGCAGTGTGCACCGAAGACCCTCGTTTCTTTTGCTTAGTCACTACAGCTCACATTATCAATGGCCGTGTCCCTGAGGACGGTCTTTTACGGGCCTCTTGTCACGTGTTTTTTATTGATCCAGAGCTTGGAAACCACGAGGACCACAAAGGGATTGCTGGCCGCTTTGGTTTTAACTGCACCCCAGATCCAGATGCCTTTGGCTGCTTGGAGTTCCCTCAGACCCCCCCAGATGTCCTCCACTTTGTTACAGTTCTTTACAGTGACCTGGGGGAGGTAGTGGAAAGGCTCAGATTCAAACTGGACTCAGAGGCCCAGCAGCAAGCCAAGGAGAATGACAACACCAGAAAACAAGGCAGTGCTAGCAGCAATGGGGACAGTGGTATTGGAAATGCTTCTCCCCCTGAAGAGAGAGCTGACAGGGATTTCCCTCCAGAAATCCCAAACCTTTCTGGGGCCCACCTCCCCAGCTGTCCATGGGATTACCCTCAGATTGAAGGCCTCACCCCAATAAACCTCTCCAAGAGTGGCCAAATGCTTAATCTAGAGACCAGTGCCAGCACACACTCCCTTTCAGAATCTCTACCTGGTCCGGATTCTTTAACCAGCTTTTACGGCGGTCCCCCACCCAGGCTAGAGTTCCAGTTTAAGCCTCCACCTCCTCCTCTACCTTTGACTAAGAAACCAAACTTTTTGGCAGATCCACTAAGAAGCAGTCAAAGGTGGTTCTCAAAGCCAAAGTGGGCTAAAGGCCTAAATAGTGATTCTGTACCTCAAGAGACATCCACCAACAACTGTGCATCAAACACCCAAGGCATGACTCATAACCCACCCCCTCCAATGAGCCAAAGAGCCCCAGATAGGTGCTATTCCACAGAGGCCATGATGCCTCCCAGGGAGGAGTGGACCAAAAGGTTTCTTGAGCAGAGACAGAAACCGAGGACGGATGGCAACAGCAAAAATGTAAGTTTTTCCATTTCTTTAGGTTTACAACCCATCAGACATCTGTGAAAAGATTCCACACATCTAGAGAACACCTTTGAGCCACTTCACCAGAACAAATGGTCACAAACCCAATAATTACGTTGTCACAAACAAGAATGTGAGAGAAAAGCCCTGCTTATGATATCTGGTGTTGGTTTCTTCTTTGTCCACAAGATGTCCCTGTGTATCCACGTGGTACCGGAAACAAGCGTCTCTCAGGAAATCAGTAATGTGTATTCACAGAATCCCTGGAGTGTTTTCTCTCTTGCTCCTCAGCCTCACAAAGGGCTCCAATTAGACTGCATGTTAGCAAATGTGCGTCTGCAAATTAAGGGTACATGCAGTGGGTGTTTTGGATGAAGTTGAATTTAAAAATAAATGTTTTGTCCCCATCTGCTTCAGTTATTCTAGTATTTTTCTGCTTCTAGCTCAGAGCCAGATAACATATTTGTTTTTGTCCTCCCAGCTTGCTTTAAAGAAGACTATCTTAGACAGGAAGCTGGGGAAATTACTGGGTAGAGCCCATGCCATACATTGGTAATTATGTGCAATTCTCAAACTCTTGTTGAAACTCCAGGCACGACCCTGGAAATCATGAGAACGGTGGTGGCAGTCGGAACACGGCGTCTTTTTATGATGGTTTAGTCTCGCCTCTGGTGGATTGTCTCAGACTGTAAATGATCGTTTTCATTAGATATGAATCTGAACATTTCAGAAAAAGTAAGCTGATTAATTTAAGCATTCGTGATGCCCCCAGTTGTTTTAAGCAGACTCAATACTAACTGTTGTAGTGCACACTGCTGTGCTAAAAAACAAAGAAGTCGCAAAATAACACTGTTAAATCCGAGTCAGTGCTAACAGATTGGCCATTTTCAAATGAGTTCATTTCTTGGTGGACTAATATCAGCTCACCCAGTATGGACAGGGTGAGAATAACAAACTTGTAATTACAAATGGGGATTTATTTTTCTAACAGGGATCCAGATTTTGGGGTATGGGTGTTGTCCGCGCCTCCAAACGTCGCTCATCCAAACGCCTCAGCATGGCACGCTCTCTGGATGATCTTGAGGTAGGCATGAAGTTTTTGTACTTGCTCGTGTGTTCATGTGAGAAAAGGCTTTTCTGTTTGTTGGGAAAATGCGCTTGACTCATATTTTTAAAGCTTTAAGGTCTTTCTTTATTTCACAGATCTTTATGGTTGCAGCTTTGGTTAATTTTGGTGCCAGTTCCTTCCTAGAGGAGGTTCTTTTTTTTTTTTTTTAGAAATGATCTAAATTAGGCCAACAGTAGAGAGGTTAACTCTACCAGCCTTCTGCGATTGGGCGTGTTGAGCTACTTTGGACGAAGGCACGGCGGCGGCCGCTGCAATCTTTGAGCAGGTGAAGGAGGAGGTGCTTGTAAAGAAGATGGTGCAACTGCCTGTTCTGTGGACCTGTTTCTGTTTTCTTTTCTTTTGTTCAAAGTGCAGTCTGTCATTACTTATTCCTAGCTCGTCTCCTACAATGAATGCGATTGCTGTTGTGACACCAAACTTTCCCCACTGATGGACAATAAATGTCTACAACTTTCAAGATGGACATCACAGATAAATCACCCTTAGAAAACGAGTAAATTACCCTAAGTCCGTCCGTTTCACTTGCCTGGCCTGCCAGACTAGAGGACGAGTCTGGATGCTCACGGGCAGAGAGCACCAAGAGGGGTGGGACTAGCCAGCTCAAAAATAACCAATAAGAAAAGAGGTGAAAATGATGACTGTATCGTGTGATGCTGTAGTTTTTTAGCTGTAGACAATGATGGCGAGGACGCGAACATCTTTCTTTAGAAGAAAGGCTTTTAGCACATCTTCTTGTGGTTTTAAAGACATGTCCAATTCGTCAGAACAGAGGAGATAGCTGCAGCGAACTCCTCTGTACCGGGCGTTACCATGCCAACGGCATGGCTGGCCAGGCTACCGTTTTACAGAAATTGAGCAAGAAGTCAACGTAGTTGAATATTTTCTAAATTCGACCATCATTTACTAAAGAGACATTTTCAGTCCTAAACAGGGTGGGTGGTAAGCTTCGCTAAGCCTTTATCCTCTGTCACAGCCTGCCATTCATCTTTATCTTCATTATTGGTGGAACGTGCAGAAGTTAACTTGGACATTCAGCTAACCCCACACACACACGCACGCACGCACATGCACACGCACACACACACACACACACACGCACACAGCTAATCCTTACCTTCTACCTTGAACTCAGTTTGCTGTCACAAACGACAGGTGGCTCCCCACAAAGTGGTCTTTGTGTGAGCCAGAGGCACTGGCCTGTTGGTTTGGACTCGCTAACGAGCGCCACTGCACCTCTGAAGGTTGTGCTAACATTCCCTCGTATAAACGTCACTTAAAAATGCTCTTTCTCCAGTTGTCCCTGCATGCATGCGTTACTCATGCACTCTTGATTTATGTTCACAAATACTCACAGTTAGGAATGTTGTAATGGCTTTGGGTGTACACGAAGAAACTGGAACAGCAACCACATGATTGCATGCTGGATTGTACATCTGCACATGAGTCAAACAACCAAATAGCACCAATTTTCACTCAAAGAGTTAGACCTCAAATCAGCCCACAGATTTAACTCGGCATCGACTAAAGAGTGCTGTTGTTGAAAGCTTTGTACTTGGAGCAGGTCTGCTCCAGATGTGCAACAAATGACTCATTTATTCTGTTATCATACATTTATCACTCTGACCTCAAGCTTGAATTGTTTTCTTTTACATATTTTTTACACGTTTGTGTTATTTTAAAAAAATGCACCACTCTCAGATGGTTGATTATTTTTATTTTTGCTTCAGTGGCTTGAATGTGACGAACAGGTCCGACACTCGGACTGCTAATTTTTATTTTGGCATTATCAGTCATCAGTGTTAGCTTAGAAACTAAGAATTTTCTGCGTAGTTATATGTGCTGCTCAGATTTCCTTTAAAGTACCAGCTGCCACTTCAATCAGCGAGAGGTAAAATTACTTCTGAGTTTATGATCACACCTCCGCAGGAATGTGGGGCTTTTTTAGGAATTGTTTTCACACCTTGAGATTATTCCTGTTTGTTCTTTGATAAATATAAAAAATGTGAGTGGCTGCTGAGAGCAGCCCTGGCTAAGAGGAAAGCTTTCTCGTTGTGTTGCATTGAGTTCTGCGTCTTACACCTTTAGTTTGTTGTGTTAGATAAGATAAGATAATCTTTTATTAGTCCCACAAATGGTAAATGTGCATTGTCACGGCAGAAAGAGCTAATTTCCAAAGAAACACACACAACTTACACAACGTCATGAATGTTTGTTTTTGACCTTTCTCTGCTATCAGAACTTGGCTATTGCACAGACGGTAGAAAAAAATAATCTAAATATTGTAAATAAATGGATAGACTGTAAGCATGCACATTTTCCAAAATTTCTTTAAGCATTAATTGATGCCCTTAATGGTTAATACAGTGGTGTGAAAAACTGTCTGCCCCCTTCCTGATTTCTTATTCTTTTGCATGTTTGTCACACAAAATGTTTCTGATCATCAAACACATTTAACCATTAGTCAAAGATAACACAAGTAAACACAAAATGCAGTTTTGAAATGATGGTTTTTATTATTTAGGGAGAGAACAAAATCCAAACCTACATTGCCCTGTGTGAAAAACTAATTGGCCCCTGAACCTAATAACTGGCTGGGCCTCCCTTAGCAGCAATAACTGCAATCAAACGTTTGTGATAACTTGCTACAAGTGTTTTACAGCACTCTGGAGGAATTTTGGCCCACTCATCTTTGCAGAATTGTTGTAATTCAGCTTTATTTGAGGGTTTTCTAGCATGAACCGCCTTTTTAAGGTCATGCCATAGCATCTCAATAGGATTCAGGTCAGGACTTTGACTAGGCCACTCCAAAGTCTTCATTTTGTTGTTCTTCAGCCATTCAGAGGTGGATTTGCTGGTGTGTTTTGGGTCATTGTCCTGCTGCAGCACCCAAGATCGCTTCAGCTTTAGTTGACGAACAGATGGCCGGACGTTCTCCTTCAGGATGTTTTGGTAGACAGTAGAATTCATGGTTCCATTTATCACAGCAAGCCTTCCAGTTCCTGAAGCAGCAAAACAACCCCAGACCATCACACTACCACCACCATATTTTACTGTTGGTATGATGTTCTTTGTCTGAAATGCTGTGTTACTTCTACGCCAGATGTATCGGGATATTTACCTTCCAAAAAGTTCAACCTTTGTCTCATCAGTCCACAAGGTATTTTCCCAAAAGTCTTGGCAATCATTGAGATGTTTCTTAGCACAATTGAGACGAGCCCTAACGTTCTTTTTGCTTAACAGTGGTTGGTGTCTTGGAAATCTGCCATGCAGGCCATTTTTGCCCAGTCTCTTTCTTATGGTGGAGTCGTGAACTTTGACCTTAATTGAGGCAAGTGAGGCCTGCAGTTCTTTAGAAGTTGTCCTGGGGTCTTTTGTGACCTCTCGGATGGGTTGTCTCTGCGCTCTTGGGGTAATTTTGGTCGGCCGCGCACTCCTGGGAAGGTTCACCACTGTTCCATGTTGTTGCCATTTGTGGATAATGGCTCTCACTGTGGTTCGCTGGAGTCCCAAAGCTTTAGAAATGGCTTTATAACCTTTACCAGACTGACAGATCTCAATTACTTTTGTTCTCATTTGTTCTTGAATTTCTTTGGATCTTGGCATGATGGCTAGCTTTTGAGGTGCTTTTGGGCTACTTCTCTGTCAGGCAGCTCATATTTAGGTGATTTCTTGATTGAAACAGGTGTGGCAGTAATCAGGCTTGGGGGTGGCTACAGAAATTGAACTCAGGTGTGAAACACCACAGTTGGGTTATTTTTTAACAAGGGGGCAATTACTTTTTCACACAGGGCAATGTGGGTTTGGATTTTGTTCTCTCCCTAAATAATAAAAACCATCATTTCAAAACTGCATGTTGTGTTTACTTGTGTTTTCTTTGACTAATGGTTAAATGTGTTTGATGATCAGAAACATTTTGTGTGACAAACATGCAAAAGAATAAGAAATCAGGAAGGGGGCAAACAGTTTTTCACACCTCTGTAGTTGGTGAACTGTAAGCTCTTCGTCCAACCCCCTGATACACATGCACAAGCATTAGCCCCCGCTCCATAAATAATACCAACGCCTTTTCCATCTACTCCTTTAATGTTATGGCAGCTATTGTGCCAGCACGATAACAGAGCTGCCAACTCTCACACTACTCGCCCTGCGGTCTTAAGCAAAGTGCACTAGGAGAAAGTGTGCAGTAAGACTTTGAGTGCGTGGTACACAAGTGTGCAAATAATTGCCGAATTGAGACGGGGAGCATTGCATCATCTATCGCAACGCATGCCGGGATGCTGGTCGCTGTGATACTTAACCCTCTGGAGGCAGGCGTTGCAGATGTGCAACATTAAAACCTACCTACCTGGTTACTCCACATACGTGTTTCATGAGCATGTTTTAACTCAGAAGTTCCCCTGAAGGACTTAGTTGTTCGTCCGTTTATCAAAACTTATTTTGAGCCTCAGAGGGTTAAAAAAAACTTCATTAGCAACTTTGAAACAAACAATCAATTACTTGGAATAATTTTACATTCGTTGCTGCTTTATCTAAAAGTTTTAGAGCATCAAATAATCGTCCTAAAATGAACTAATTTCATTAGAAAATACATATTTTCAGAAAAGAACTTGAGCCTGCTCTTCTGCAGCAATGGATTGTGGGTAATACACTTCACCCAAGTCCGCGTCGATGCAAACTTGGGTGAAGTGCGGATCTAGGGCGCAAAAGGGGCGTGATCATATTCCGCACTTGAGAATCAGGACATCCTACGCACTCACGCCCCTGGTCGGGATCGTGCAATCGATGGAAGCAAGTGTGGAAGTGCTGTTTCCCAGGTGCACTTAGCGGCATGTAGGTGTGGTCTGTCTGCGCTGTGAGAGCGAGGGAAGTATCTGCAGACCTGACTGTGAATGCCCGTAACAACTGATCTGCTGTCAGCTGCTACTAAATTACACACAAGTGCAGTTAGCAGTTAGTGTAACTTTTACATACCTTACAAATACTGTACACAAACTCTTCAGCTACTACCCTCTCGCTCAAAATGTGGAAATACGACAGAGCCGAGGTAATGTTTTTGAGATGTTTTAGTTCATCAGGCACAGATTCAGAAGTAGAAGGTTGCCTCACAGCACATAGTTATGTGTAGCTAGAGCTAAGAAACGACTAAAATAAAAACAAGAATCTTCACCCAAGGCTTGCTTTTCCTATTTGAAAATCTTTATAAAGGGTTTAAATTACCTCAGTCACTAACACACATGTATTAGCATCACTGTTAAGCCTAGTTTATGCTCCGCAAAGGAGAGACGCACACGCTGATGCACTCTGGACATCTGCGTCCTGCCGACGGCCACAGTAACCTTCTCAAAGTGGTGCCATCAAAAAATATAATCAACACACACCACCGTTCATGTCCGTTCATATACTCTCTGGTACTTTCTGTTTTATTGGTGCCTGACGCGCTCCGCTGCAGCAGAACTCATCATCCGTGGTCTGGTGACTTCTCCTTGCTGGTGCAGCCGTGGGGTTGAGAGGAGATGCAGGAAGCTTAGAGACAGACAGGACAGGAAAAATGTCACTGGAAGAAAACTAAACAAAGAGCTTGAAAAGGAAAATGTGGGTAGATTTATCCCACTTCACGTCTTTTACCTTTCATAAAGCAATCATTTATAAGGATGTGATATTTACATATTTAATACAATTCACCTTCAAAACTCAGTCCCACACCCAGGCCATGTCAAGGCATTTTGGGGGCCAAGGCAAGGATTTGAAAAGCCTGATTACTCTGCTTCATATTGTAATTTGGACTTACCCAAATTGACTCATAACAAGGAGTGCTGTTGTTGTTTTAGCATCCAGAATTAGCAGAGAACGTCTCTTTCAACAGAAGCTAACCGCTAGCATTAGCAACTCAAACACTTGGCTGAAGCCCCTCCAGGCTTGCTGTTTGTGGATATAAGACATCAATGTCCCTGAGCACACTTGTTTCTTTCTCACACTCCTTTCTACGTTCTATTGTTTGTGTGTTGCGTTGGCGTCCGGTTTCTCCTATGTATGTTTAATTGCAGAGTTTGCGTGGGATTTCGTAAACGACTCCACATTTAAGTCCAGCTGGTATCTTGTCTTTTGGGTGTACTAGTCTGTTTCTAACTGTTGTGTATGGTTTTGTTGGTGTGTTTATGTTGTGTTTTTTTCATTGCTGCTCTTATTTTTTCTGTTATACCTTTGATGTATGGTTGGGTTATCACTGGTTTTGGTTCTTGTCTTTCTGGGTTTCTTTGCTTAGGTTGTTCTTTTCTTTCTGTTGTTGTTTGTTGTTTTCCTTTGTTCATTGCCCATGTCGGGTATCCGCAGGTCTTTAAAGCGTGTTGTATGTGTTTGTCCTCTTGTTTACGGTCTCATGCTTCTGTTACCATGTTTGCTCGGTGATATAATGTTCTGATTACCGACATTTTGTGTATGGTGGGGTGTTCTGATGTCCATAATAGATATTGGTCTGTGTGTGTTGGTTTCCTGTATGTGTTTATGTTTAGGGTCCCGTCGGTCTGCCAGCTTATTTTCATGTCCATAAATGCTATACTGCCTTCTGTTTCTGACTCATAAGTGAACTTTATGTTGCCTGTGTCGTCACTGTTATTCAAGTGTTGTGTTAGAGTTTCTGTTGGTCCTTTTGGTATGATTTCCAGTATGTCGTCTACGTAGCGTTTCCATAGTTTTATTTTGCAGTTTGGGGGGGCGGTGGCTACGGCTTTTTGTTCTAGGCCTTCCATGAAAAACTCGCACAGGGTGGCTGATAACGGGTTACCCATGGCGAAGCCTTCCAGTTTGTATATTGTGTTTTCATATGTGAATTAAGTGGAGTTTTCATATGTGAAGTAAGTGGAGTTTTTTTTATTTTGCCTTTTTCTTGTAGTGGCTTCAGTAATTTTTTCATGTTTTCCTTAATGCTTTCTGTTTGGTCTTTTTTTAAAGTATTTTGTATGTATTTTTGTCCTCTAGCATCTGTTTCATCTGTTGTTTATATTTTTCTTTGTCCATAACTACTGTGTTTCTTCCTTTGTCTGCCGGTAGAATAATTATCTGTTCATTTTTGGATAAGGCTGTCATGGCTGATTCTTCTTCTTTTGTAATATTGCTGTGTTGAATTTTGCTGTTCTTTAATATCCCAACAACTTTATTTCTAAGTTGTGCTTTCTTTCCCTCATCTGTGATCTGTTGACATGCTAGTTCTGTTGCTACAATAAATTCATCATATGCTGTTTTCTTTGGTGTTACTGCAAAGTTTAAACCTGTTTTTAATGCTTTCTTCTGCTTTTGTTAGTTCGTGTTGTGAAAGGTTACGCACCCATGAGCTTTGTGTGGTGTTATCTTGTTTATCTTTTCTCTTTTTCTTGTTGATGAGTTTAACTTCTTTGTGTCTTTCTTTTACTTTCATGAACTCTTTTTCCTGTTTTTCCATCACGTGTCCTTTAATTTGTTCCTCCGTTTTTTTCATCTACTTTGTCATTCCTTTTTAAGTCCAGGTGTCTTCTTTCCAGTTCGTTATCCACTTGCTTCTGTTTGGTTGCAACGTTTCTTATCCTTTCTTTGAGTAGTGCTCTCTATGTTCTTTCCATTATGTTTTGTGCTGTCTTGGTCCAGATCGGTGTTTTCAGCTGTAGGCTTGTTGGCGTGATGTTTTCGTCCTGGCATCTTAAATTGAAGCGAAGGTGGTTCCTTAGACGTGCGCGTTTTTGGTGTGAACGTTCCAAACGGCGGAAGTCCTTTGTTCCTTGTTGTCCGTATTTTTCTTTAAACATCTTTGGTATGTTCTTGCTGTGTTTAGTTTCAAACTGCATTTTTGTTACATTGTGTCATTTCCCACAATGTTCGCCCTTAAGGGCGACAACATCCTCTGTTGCCCGTGGATAAACAGAGAAGGAAGTGACGCCACCATCAGCGTCAGCTCTGGGGAAGTTTACAGCCGGTAAACGAAACTGTCAGCAAGGTAAAAAAAAGAAAACTTTTTCTGTGTTTTAAAAAATAACCAAAAATGCAGTTTGAAACTAAACACAGCAAGAACATACCAAAGATGTACACAGAGTTGGTGAAAGGGTCACGTTGCTTTTGTCCAATCCAATGCAAAATGTCTAAATATCAGGAAATAAGACTCCAAATCCTCCCATTTGAAGCACAGCTTGGATGTCGCAGACCGGTCCTGCTGGGCCGGGAGTTTGTGGGCTTTTTTGTGCCCTGAGTTCTGCTTGCAAGAGATTCATTTATGCCCGAGACCACTGCAAATGTTTTGATTAAATGAGTAATCCACACCTTTAAGAACGATTTTCTTAGCAACACTTGGGATTGTTCAGTATTATTGGCATATCATTTTTATTGGCCAATATTGGTATTGCAATCTAACAACAGAAACTATTGGTATTGGTTTCTGCTCTCAATGACAACATTTACATACCATGCACATGCTTCAGCTACTTCTCCCACTCATAATGTCAAAATATGACAGATCTGAGGTTTAGTTCTTGAGAGATTTAAGTTGTTTGGCACAACTGGCCTCATTTCAATAGAAAAAATTGCCACATTTTCCACAAATAATGTTTAAGTATGCACAATAGGAGGATATGTGATGTTAATCATCCAAAACAATTTAGTTTTTCTTTTGTTTTGATTATGTTGGTATCCCACATATACTGATAACTGTTTACATCTAACATCAGTAAAAGAAAGCCAATAATGAACATCCCTAAGCATAACCGTTAGTGCTCTTGTATGCCCCAGTATACCTCATAACAGTATTATTGCCAACCCTATGGAGAACCTCCAAAAAAGAGCTGCACTGCAAACCAAAGGTGTACTGCTGGCATGCAATGTTTGCCCACATAAAAACATAAAACCTTTTTCTATTATAATCTTTTTACATGTCACTTTTAAAGATATTCTTGTAAACACAAAATTTGTAGAATCTCTAAATTCTTTGTTGAAAGAGATTCATAAATGACCTCAAATCAGCCATACATTCCTATGGCAGGCCTCGCGTGTGGTCTCTGTTACTCTGCCACTGAAAAATGCCCAAAACGGGAACGAGAGTTGGAGCATGAGCATAAAGCTTGCATGAAGAACACTGAAAAAAAAATTCTAAAAAAAAAAAGAGACCGATTTTAATATCTTTACAGAAAGACTTTACATTAAAGGTGCAGACTCTTCTTTTAAGCTTTAGTTAAAATTTGAATACTGGTTAAACTACTGGGAAACATAACAGCTGTACATTCCTTCAGAACTATGAGATTTTATTCCATCTGCTGCATAAATGCAAGCATCTAATCTCTTGTTGTTGCTTGGAGACGTAGAATAGGTTAGAGTTGAAGACGGTGTTAATTTTCACAAGAAGTTTTAATTTAGTCTTAGTCTTTTGACTAAAGTTGATTTTAATTTTAGTCTCATTTTAGTCAAAATATATGCATTTTTGTTCTGATGCAATAAAACTGGCACAGACATCATCATCGCGTTTGTCCTTGCATCTGGACTCTCAAGGACACGAGGAGACCATTTTGTTAGGGCTGACCCCTAAGAACAAGCCCTGATGCAGACAGCGGAGGAGCGCTGATCAAACCGGACGTGGGTGGCCTTCAGAGATCAGTGCTGTGTGTCACTATGGCTGGTGCAAAACTGAGCTAACCCTGTTTGCCTTCAAAGACAAACAGCTGCTGCAAAAAAATCAGAATACACAAAGTGTGTGTTTCTGGTTAACTAGACGGTGAATCAGCTGTCTAGTTCTGCGTTTTCCTTGTGGAGACCGACAGCGTTGTCAGATCCCTTTATGTTCAGGCACGTCCAAGAATGTTCTGCTTCGTACCCATCTTGTCTTATTACCTTCCGGTGCTTGTCAGAGCCCCTTCTGCGAATGCCCCGGCATCCTACTGTACCGCTCGACTTTTACGAGCATGTTTTCTCATCACAGGCTCCCCAAGCAGATGCTTTGCGCTGGTGACGCTCAGCGGATGACAGCGCGCTCAGCTTTTGCAGAGATGGCACCATTAGTAGGCTGCTGTGTTCACGCTGACTCCTATCTTCCGAAGTGTTGCTGCGTGTGAAAACATCTGTTGGTGTGAGGCGTCAGCTACAGCACACGGTTTTAGTCAGACATACCCGAAACGCCTGATGCAGGGAATGAGTTACAAGTTTCCTTCTTTTCCTTTTAGGTGTGGAGATATTTCTTTTCTTGCAAGGTAACAGATCTATCTTGTGGGCGTAGCAGACACCAAGAGACCGTGAGGGGAGGTAAATAGAGAAGAGGAGAGAGGAGGAATTCACAGCAGAGAGGGAGGGAGGGAGGGAGAGGAACCGGCAGCAGAGGAAAGAGAGAGGGAGCTTTTGAACTCCCAGTAGCTGTCAGGATTTTTGGCTCGTTGGCACACGCTCTCTTCCCCCTGTTCAGCTTCGTCTCTGCATTGCACACACACACACACACATACACATACACACACACACAGAGGCGCTCTCCGTAGAGATCCAGCGGATGGACCCTTTCACACACACCAGTCGCGAGGAACAGCCCTGAGGACGAGGCAGGCACACAGCGCCATACATGGAGCAAACTTTAACTCTCAGCTCTGTAAGTCGTTAAATCTCTTCATCTGGTGATGCCATTTACGTCTTTGACACTTTTGTCCTTCTTTGGGCTCCTCGCAGATCCTGAAGTGGCTTTTTGAGCAGCAGACACTGGTTAGCTTGTGTGGTCCGTCAGAGGAATGTTTTGACCAGTGGCATTTCAGATCCCATGTGCTGAATATGACACACTGCACTTCAGTGCAGGAAACCAAACGCAGACCTGATTTTTCCATCAGGATGAGCTCCGGCTTCAAACGAGCTCCCATACTTGGAGGAGTTTTGGGATCAGTCTTACTGAATGAGGTTTGCACTGAGATTAGAGCCCTTTCCCAGTCAGCTTGCAGCTCTGAGGAGTTCAGTTTAGTGTGAAGATGCCAAGATGTGAGGTTGTTTGCAAAGGGATGGAAACACGTTTACGGTGAAGTTGTGTTTTGACCTGATCGTGTTACAGCCACCACTGAGTTTGGACTTGAAGCTGTTGCCTGCGGGTTTACTTTTCCCTTACTTGCTTTGTTTAGGCATGTCTCTCAGTTTGATTCACCAGCTTCCTTATTAGTTTTTCTTGCCGCAGCTACTTTTTGCTTTTAGCGCCTTGCTGCTCATGCGTTAATCTTGCAAGAAGCGCTGTTGTGATTTTTGATTCACATTTGTTCTTCTTCTTCCTGTTTTTGGTGTCACGAGAAGATGAGCAGGAACGGTGTGGGTTTCTGGGGATTAGCGACGGCGTCAAGAAAACACGACACACTTTTTATCTCTCTGACATCACACGGCCAGCTCTGGAGGAAGGGTGGGTGGACAGTTGTGCGCATAGAAAAAGTGTCCCCAGGCCAGCTTTATAGGATGCAAAGACTATGCTGCCTGACATTTTCTAAATGTTTCCATTATCGTTCCTATTTCTTCCAAAAGATGCTTTTAGTGGACTTATCAGTCTCTCCAAACCCAACTGGAAAATCACAATAAGTTGAGTAAAGGGTAATTAACCAACGTGCTGCTTGGCGTATAAATAATGCAGCATCCAATAACCAGATGACCAGATGTGACTGTGGTTGCTGACTCTGCAGTTTGACCAAACCATAACCACTGAAAATATCCTCTGTCTCTATCTCTGGTACTGCAGCACCGCTCTTGGCTACCCTCTCTCCGTCTCGTTGCCATGACGTCATCTTACTCAACCACAAAAGCTCTTCATCATCGTCCATTCAGTTTCTACATCTCAACCCTGATTTGCAGCTTCTGGAAAGGATTCACCCCCACCTCCTCCATTTCTTTGTTTACCCTTTTTCACTGCTACTTTTATATTTCCCTGCTCCACTGTTGGGGGAAGTCCTACGCCAAAGGGCGACTCAAGTCTTGGAGCCACCGAAAGCCTTCTCTGGTAACGGTTCAGACATGTCTAGCGTACAGTTCACCATTTGACATTGCCAACTTTTTACCCCCCAAAAAAAAAAAAAAAACATGTTTGTCTAATGTCTTGGCTTGTAGGGGATAAGAGTTTAGCCCGAATGTAGGATTATATCTTTCTGGCCTTGCTTTGGCACAAGATGCACCAGAACCAGGCCAAGGTTGCACATGCTTTCTCGTGTGGGATTTTTAAACATGGATTGTTGAGGCAGCAATTTGGTTCTGGAAGTCTTAAAAGAACTTTCCCCAGTAAGCATATCTGGAACATCTTCATATTTCTTGCTGCTTACTTGTGCCTTGTCCTTGTCATTGTTTCCTGAGGTTGTCGGTTAGATGTTGCCCTGACAAGCCATCATGCTAGATGGTTATTAAAAATCTGGCTGAGTAAAAGGAGATCAGTAGATGTAATTTGTGTGTAGCTTAAATAAATATGCAGAAACATGTTTAGGTAGGAAATGTAATCAGATACGGATGTGGTTTTTTAACTTTAAGAATCATATTCCTTATTGTATGGGAATGAACTCGGGCGGAAACTTCTTTTTTTGTTGTAATCCAACAACTGGGGTTTCCTTCTTGAAACATTAGACCATAGGGTCAGTAGTAACTGGTTTGACAGCTCTTGATTCTGGCAACATGCAGCATGGCCTTGAAGACTTTCCAGGAAGCTGATGCTGTCTTATATCACGATCTTATCAAAACACTACAAACGTACACAAGCAGATAAAAAAGGAGAGAAAAAGCTGCTCACTGAGCTTTTCTCTTGGTTCAGTAGAAAACTAAAGGGGGCTGATTAAAAGTTTTCGGTTTCAAGTTGGAAAGTCCATTTTTTTCAATGGAAAAGAAAAAGAAAAGTATGAGGGTGTGGTGGTACTTAATGTGGTTTGTCCACCTCAAGCCCTCTGGGCTCGTGAGTGCAGCTCTTTTCTCTGTGATAATGAATTGTGCGGTGGGAGGGGTTGCCATCACCAGCTCTTATTTCTACTGAAGTCATTCTGTTTCAGTCAGCGGTGCCATGTGACTCTGGTGGATTCTTTCTCATTTTGTGTGCAGAGTTTTCTCCCGAAAGTCCATCTGTGACCTGAAGGGATTCTGTTCTATTGCATCATCACCAAAATAAAAGAAGCTGTTAGTTAGTCTTATACCACGGGCTATGCAGGTTCAGGCAGAGTTAACTTCTTTTATTTTGGGGTGGAATCAAGACCTACTGTACTCTACAGAGTATTGAGTCATTCCTCTCATTTTATATTTAGCTTCCAAGGAGCCAAACCTTTATGTAAACACTCTAATTTCCCTCTGGGATTAATAAAGTGCCTTTGATTAAAGTGCTCTTATTTTCTAATTTGTTCATTGGACTTCTGCTCCACTGATTTTCAGTCTAGAAGATGGCTCTTTTCAGCAGAATGTTTTACTGTTTTTTTGCTTGTTAAATTCAACTTAAGTCTTAACTTTTAGTGATTCAGGCCTAAAACGGCTGCTGAAACTTGGGTGACTCAAGGGTCTGACCCTTAGGGATGTCCAGTTTACTTCAATTTAAAGATGGATCAGAGCAGCATTGTAAAAAAACTGATGATTTTATTATTTCCTCTAAATGCTCTTATATGTAACTCACTGGTAAGTCATTGAATACCAAGTTTACTGAGAAACCGTTTTTTACTTGTTATTTTTGAAATATGATCAGTCACTCTGAGTTTAATATGCAGGCTTAATGTGAAAATAGTCTTCTACTCCTATTTTCTGCATTAGCTGCTGATAGACAATAAGCAGGTAAACGCTTGGATTATACAAGCCCTGACAGATCGACGTAATAATGAAAATGAACATTCATGACTGGGAAGGCTGTGTTGTTGGTTTAGTGTCCAGGAAACAGTAGAGAACGTCTCTGCTAGTTTAAGCTAACGATTAGCATTAGCAACTCTACTACACAGCAGAACACCTTTAGGTTTGTTTTATTTTAGAGATAAAACAACGTTTTAAAGGAAATTGAGTCAGTGGTAGAGTTGTGTTGCTGTTATCCAATCAGAGGCGAGATGTTAGAATATCATGAACTAAGACTCCAAATCCTGCCATTTTCTGCTCATCTCTCTGGCTCACGTTTGGTTCCCGAAATTGGAGTACCAGAGAGATCAACTCACAAGGCGTTGATTTATATTGGAGACCTCTGCAATTGTGTTGAAGAAAACAAGTGGACTAGTGGTCTTTAATTTAACTGGATCATATCAATATGCTTCTAAAACTTGGGATGTTTGGTAGTCTGGCAAGCCATCCTATATATGTGAATATATAGTCTGGCCACGACCCATAGAGAGATCTTGGTCATAGGGTGGGATCCACGGTTCTCTTTCAGACTGTCTCTGCATGCTATTGGACAACAAACAACTTGATGTACTCGGCTCTATGGCCAGCTTGAAGACAAAAATACATCGTACCTCTATCTGCTCTTGACTCAAAGAGCAGCACAAGTCTTAATAGTCCAAAGTTAATACCTAATGTCAAACAAGGTGCCGCCATCTTAAGCCTGGTTTATGCTTCTCCGTCAGCTCCGCAAGGGACAGACACGCACGGATTGACAGAAGCGTTTTGCTCTCATACTTCTCCGTCTCCTGGAGAGTGTTGCAAAGCAATTCCCCAGCAGGACAACAGAGGGCGTAGCGCTGTTCTGTGGTATCCTGTCATGTATCGGTCCAAGATCGTGTGTTTATATTGTGTTTTTTGTGTATATAAGAGACTTTTTAACACGGACATATTTGTCTCTCATTCTCCCACCTCTTCATGCGCTCCCCACCTCTAAACCCACGTTTCCTGTCATTTCCGTCCACAAATAAAACGCTTGCTGCGCATCTTTTCACTCCTCCAGTCACGGGAGAATTAAACGTTCATATTTTTAGAGTTTTTTTCGCGAGGTTTTCTTCAAGCTTCTCCGTGTCTGCCGCTTGTTATCCTCGGCTCTCTTTGCAATGGCGGCGCTGTAAACAACAGCGGTGTCCTGACCAATCACAAGCTTGCGTAATCCGTCTCGTTCGACGGATGTTTAAAAAAGTGGGCTCGACTCCGTACGTACTTGCGTGCCTGCCGGAGCCCTACGCAAGGACGGATAATGGTGTTGCGTGTCTCCGCACTGATGCAGACGGAGAAGCATAAATCAGGCTTTAGTTGTTCCAGTTATTTGCATCGTCCTGCCTACCAAACCGATAGAGCTCTGTGATTGGCATAACACCGTGCTGATCTGACTAATGGTAGACCTGCTGAGGCTCTGATGGCTAGACTGACATGCAGAGCGAAATCGTTTGTCTTTGTGTACGGTCTATAGACATTTGGTAGAGATTGTTCAGAAACCATTGTCACACATTTGTCTCCAAAAGAGACATCACTTAAGGTAAGAATGGTTAGTCTAATAACTGATTATTAGAAGATTTGGATAAAATATGTTATTAATTAATAACACTCGGTTTAAACACATACTAAAACCATAAAGTATAAAAAATGGAAGAAAATTACCTCCTTACTTCACAGAAAATACAGAAAAACCAAAGAAAAAAACCAACAAAGTCCTTTAGTAACACTAGTCTGATCATTACTGACTTAGGAAACTGCCAGACATTTGAA